CACTCGCTTCAATATACCTTAATGACAAATTTGTGCTCTTCTGTGCTGTGCAAAGATGAATTTGTAGATGCTGATTTCATTTGACTAGTAACTTATTCTTCCTGATTGTATTTTATTATTTTAATTGAATTTATTGTTTAATTAAAATTTTGAAAAAAAAGTTTATAAATAAAAAAAATGGCATTAAAGGTATAAAAAGAACAAATCACTTTAAGGAGTCAAATATCACATAATGGGAAGATTTAATTTATACGACAGTTTTAGGCCTATACATTTTAGATTTTAATCAAAAGTTAATATTAAATGATTTACATTTTAGGAACACTGTTGTCTGATTGTACTCTATTTTGTCAACGAAAATAGTTCCAAAGTCACAGATGAGTCGCTGTGCATCTCCAACGTAAAGTTACCTTTTAAAAACTAATTGCAAACGTTTATGCAAAGTGTAAACTATTAAATATCTACAAATCATGCAATACTGTACCACTAAATAAGAAGTGTTTTGAGGGCTTAGCTAAACAGGTCAATTAGAGACCATTAATAATCATCACTCATTTTTTTATTAAATCATTCTTTAATTTCACTAATCTTTTTTTTTTATTAAACACAATGGGTCATTAAATGATGCTTACATTACACACACACACACAGTATCTTTAATTTGGCCAGAATTGCAGGTGCCTGTCTTAATACCCAAGAAGGTTTAGAGAAAATATAAAATAAGTTTAATGTTATTACAGATTATAGAGGGTTTTATAATTAAATACATCCGAAATGTCATCTAAAATTACCATTATTATCCCCTCCCCCTTTCCAAGCTAGAGTCCCTCCCAGTGAATTTTGGCCATTTCCACCACTGGTTACATGTAATATCTGAGGGAGCGCAGAGCCATGATCACTATATATATATATATATATAAGCCCGCTGTAAGCTGAGAGATTTGTGCTGGCGCCCTTTCGTATTACAATAATGCACTCTCGACATTTGCCATTAGAATAATGCCAAAAACTGCCTCAAATGAACTATAAATACGAGAATAAAGTTGTAAAAGCTGCAATCCATTTCTTATTGGTTAAAAGGAATGGGATCGGCGCCTATGGCATTTAAAATAAATGTTGTTTGTAATGATCGGCACTATAATTAATTTTTTTATATATACATATATATTCATTTATTTTTGTTCTGTTATGAATGTCACAATTTAAATGATTTGGAGTGAGGGGGAAGTAAATTTCATGTTAGTGTTTATAATGTTTTTTTCCCCTAACATTTGTTTTATTTAGACCTTATTCAGTATTTAAATTATATCTGAAAGTAATAGTAAAATGCGACTTACACACCGATGCAACTTATGTTTTGTTTTGTTTTTTCCCCCCCAACCTGATGCAACTTTACGGAAAATATGGTAAATTTAATTATATTATGCTGTAGTATTAAAAAGTACATATACAATGGGGACCATTTGCACCGATAAAACATTCATATTATGTTCATTCCTCCTACCCACATTAAACTTTAGCCTTAAACACTGTTATAATTATGAGGGGGTCCTTGGAAAATTCTCTCCCCTGTAAGGGGTCCCTGGCTCAAAAAAGTTTGAAAACCCCTGACCTAGAACACTTTAGCAACCGCACAGCAACACACCAAGAACACCACTAGTGTGTAACCACCCAGTAGAAAAAAATCGTGAACCACGAGCAGAACAAATTTGCCCAAATCGTTCTTAAAACCATTTGTTTTCATGCACTTGGCAGACGCTTTTATCCAAAGTGACTTAAAGTGCATTAAATAAACTTTTCTTGGTAAAATCAAACTGATAATCAAACCCACAACCTTGGTGTTGCTAATGCCATGCTCTGTAGTTGAGCTACAGGAACAGAAACAAGGAATTGTTGCAAAAAAAAATTTAAAGACGCAAAAAAATATTCAGATAGATTTCTGTTTGCGTTTCATAAATGAGGCCCAAAGTAATGTAATTATTTAATTTTATTCTGAGTAATGTATTGATGTAATGCATAATTCCCATCTCTTCTCCTCTTTCATCCCTCAGTAATCCATACTAGCCCGCCCGGTGTTTACTGTCTGTTCGTTCGCTTTAGCTAAATGTTTAAAGATACTTTTTGTTATTCAGGTTTACACAAAAGGATCATGTTCTGTCTTATTGGGACATTAAGAGACTCTGACCATCTTAGGAATACTTCAGTGGTGTATCAAAGGTCTGGCGACCTAGAACACTTTAGCAACCGCACAGCAACACACCAAGAACACCACTAGTGTGTAACCACCCAGTAGAAAAAAATCGTGAACCACGAGCAGAACAAATTTGCCCAAATCGTTCTTAAAACCATTTGTTTTCATGCACTTGGCAGACGCTTTTATCCAAAGTGACTTAAAGTGCATTAAATAAACTTTTCTTGGTAAAATCAAACTGATAATCAAACCCACAACCTTGGTGTTGCTAATGCCATGCTCTGTAGTTGAGCTACAGGAACAGAAACAAGGAATTGTTGCAAAAAAAAATTTAAAGACGCAAAAAAATATTCAGATAGATTTCTGTTTGCGTTTCATAAATGAGGCCCAAAGTAATGTAATTATTTAATTTTATTCTGAGTAATGTATTGATGTAATGCATAATTCCCATCTCTTCTCCTCTTTCATCCCTCAGTAATCCATACTAGCCCTGTCGGTGTTTACTGTCTGTTCGTTCGCTTTAGCTAAATGTTTAAAGATACTTTTTGTTATTCAGGTTTACACAAAGTTGAGCTACAGGAACAGAAACAAGGACTTGTTGCAAAAAAAAAACTTAAAGACGCAAAAAAATATTCAGACAGATTTCTGTTTGCGTTTCATAAATGAGGCCCAAAGTAATGTAATTATTTAATTTTATTCTGAGTAATGTATTGATGTAATGCATAATTCCCATCTCTTCTCCTCTTTCATCCCTCAGTAATCCATACTAGCCCTGTCGGTGTTTACTGTCTGTTCGTTCGCTTTAGCTAAATGTTTAAAGATACTTTTTGTTATTCAGGTTTACACAAAAGGATCATGTTCTGTCTTATTGGGACATTAAGAGACTCTGACCATCTTAGGAATACTTCAGTGGTGTATCAAAGGTCTGGCACACACCTCACCGCGAGATGACTCATGGATGCTGATGAGTAATGTTTATGTGACTAATTTGAGTAATGTTTACGTGTTTATTTCAAATGCACCTCCCATCCTGGATGTTCATATGGCTTCCTTGCATCTGCGTGATTTGAACAGTGGCCCTCTTTAAACATCCAGACAGGATGTTGTCTAATTAGATGATACCATGGAGCCTCAGCTGCCGTCAGACAAGTGAAGCTTTGACCAAATTTAAAAGGCCATTAGAGAAATGTAATGTAGCTACCGGTGATATGCACGAAAGTGTTTGAAGGTGAAGCGTGATAGTTTGGAAGCGTGTTATTTTATGACGTTTTTAGCTCTTGGTTTACACGGCAACTACATAATGACAAATACTACTGCAGAAGTATGTGAAATGGCCACCAAGTTTCTATGGTGTTGTGAGTGGTTGCCAGGGTGCTGTTATGTGGTTTCTAAGATGTTCAAAATGGTCTTAAGCATGTTGCTAAGGCATTCTGAGTGGTTGCCTGGCCAAACAGCCCAAAAGTACTTGCCTTAGAAAACCACATCAATTATTGTTTCCCAAACACTCATCACAGCCAATTAATCCCACCTCTAATCAGCTGTTGGTTAGATAATCTGGAAGTTCCACCCCAAATTTACACCATTGGTTGAGGTAAAATATAATGCTTAAATAACATTTCAAAAAGCACACGTGATTATTTGACAGAATTAACATTTGCTACAGTGGAAAAGAAAAGTCAAGTCACCTTTATTTATATGGCAATTTATACAATACATATTGTGTCAAAGCAGCTTGTTAAACAGTGCTGATAATGCAAGAGGACAATAGAAAACAGTCCGTTTTTCCAGTTAAAGTTGGTTCATCGTTGATTCAGTGATGGCATCATCCAGCTCAGTTCAGTTCTCTCCCAATAGTGTCTGTGCAATCAAGTCAAATATTGCCAGAAATTGTTCGAAATTCGAAGGAACAGAACACAGCAGACTGAAATGTTTCATTATATCCTTCTGTTCTGTTGTGTTCTACAGATATTCTTGTGATATCAATGTCACATTAAAATTCCAAGCATTACATTATTTTCCCCGATGGATAAAAATACAGCACGATGGAAAATTCACGGGTTATTCAGTCAGATAAGACAACCTTATTTGAAAAAAAATGTAGTCCTTTTCAGTTGAAGTTTCCCAAAGTGGAAGTGCTATTTATAATTTAAACGCTGTTCAGAAAAGGTGGATGGTCATCCCTACTGCAAATTAAACTGGGATATAATTAAGTACTTTTTTTTTACTGTAAATTAAGTATTTTTACATTTTAGCCAATAATCTCTCTCCAAAAATCTTTCCCAGCCCATTCATCCAATAGCAATTCCAACCACAGTTTCTCTTCAGCAAATTCTGTTTAGTCCCCTCACAAAGACAGGAAGTACTGAATTCACAATGGGCATGGGGGCGGAGCACATTAATGAAAAGATCCCCCCCATGCACCCCACCTTGGAATTTTTTTTCCGGTGAAGGTCACAGTCCACTGCTCTTCATTGGCGTCCCAGCCGGTTCCTCGGACTGTAATGCTTTTGTATAGACCCTTTTCCCACACACCCCTTACCAAATACGCCCCTTTAGACCAGCACTGGCCCCCTCTCGCCCAAACAACAAGAAACAAAACTAAACAAACAGAGAGCTGGATCTATTTAAAGAAGCTTCCAATTCCAAATTTAGCCCCATCTAAAGAAAACAGACATGAAAAACTGAGTTCTTTGGAAGCGGTTCAGAAATATGAAACCTGTTCACGCAAAAGGTCCTGCTCGCAACGTAACACTTAGTGAAAACATGACTGTGTTTTGCAATAACTAACCAAGGGAAATGGCGGCATTACCTCGTTTCCGTGCATATTGCCCACATATTTGAATTCCGGGATGCCCGTTCTGTGTTCTCTGGGATGTTGACCCAGTATTAAGACCCAGAGTTCTCTTCCTAGAAAGACAAAATGTAAATGTTAATCGATTGCAAACAAATGTTTCAATAAGTGAATCAGTGAATTTGCAACTGAATTAAGTGCTGTGGATCTTGTGCGGGTCACATTATTAATGTCTCACAGTTTTCTGAGTTAACCAGATACTCAAATAATGTTTTTGCACAGTTTGGGCAGGAACCTGGCAACCCAATCCCATGTAATCTCACGTCTAGCTCTAATTCACTCTGTCTGCTTGTCTCGGTCTCTAAGGACTACTCAATATGGATCTCATATTCACTGCGCAAGTTAAAGCATGCTTGCTTCAGGACAACTTAAAAAAAATTTAAAAAAAAGATTAAAAAGATTAGCTTAAAAAGGGAAATGAAGTCTTCCAAACCATGACCATTTGGTCAAAATTTAAAGAGTGTAATATTACTACAATTTTAATGTCACTTTTCAATTTTAATATTATAGATTAAAAATTTTTTAATAATAAATAAAATATGTTATATAAAATATGACTAAATGGTCTGATTAGCACCCACAATACTCTATCACTTTTTCTATGTGAAACTTCCAGTTGGTCTACCTGGGAGAATGCTTTCCATAGTGTACCTTTACAAAGATCATCAGAGGCCATCCTGAACATCCCCAGGCAACAAAGATAGGGGTACTATTGTACCCTCCCTCCCTCCAAGTAAGCTGTGGTGTGTGTGGTCCATGTAAATTTCTCTAAGGTGTGGACCTCGAAATACTTGAAGCCTTTCACTCTTACTACAGGGGCCTCTCTCCAAGTTCACAATAGTTTCTTTAGTCTCGTTGACACGCTGTTAGAAAAAGTGTCAGGTTCTCTATCTCCAACAGATTAGCTACTTTTATAAACAATAAATTCCTGTAAAATTACTGGATTAACTTTTCTGTTAAAATATACCTATTAATGAACACCAAAATGTCTACAAAACAGCCTCTGAGGCTGGAAATATAATAGGATACTAACAATTTGAGAAGAAAAAAAAAATGCATTTGGTGCTGAATGCACAATTTATGCAGTTGTTCAAGATGTCACAGCTCCCAGTATTAAGACCCAGAGGTCTCTTCCTAGAAAGACAAAATGTAAATGTTAATCGATTGCAAACAAATGTTTCAATAAGTGAATCAGTGAATTTGCAACTGAATTAAGTGCTGTGGATCTTGTGCGGGTCACATTATTAATGTCTCACAGTTTTCTGAGTTAACCAGATACTCAAATAATGTTTTTGCACAGTTTGGGCAGGAACCTGGCAACCCAATCCCATGTAATCTCACGTCTAGCTCTAATTCACTCTGTCTGCTTGTCTCGGTCTCTAAGGACTACTCAATATGGATCTCATATTCACTGCGCAAGTTAAAGCATGCTTGCTTCAGGACAACTTAAAAAAAATTTAAAAAAAAGATTAAAAAGATTAGCTTAAAAAGGGAAATGAATTCTTCCAAACCATGACCATTTGGTCAAAATTTAAAGAGTGTAATATTACTACAATTTTAATGTCACTTTTCAATTTTAATATTATAGATTAAAATTTTTTTAATAATAAATAAAATATGTTATATAAAATATGACTAAATGGTCTGATTAGCACCCACAATACTCTATCACTTTTTCTATGTGAAACTTCCAGTTGGTCTACCTGGGAGAATGCTTTCCATAGTGTACCTTTACAAAGATCATCAGAGGCCATCCTGAACATCCCCAGGCAACAAAGATAGGGGTACTATTGTACCCTCCCTCCCTCCAAGTAAGCTGTGGTGTGTGTGGTCCATGTAAATTTCTCTAAGGTGTGGACCTCGAAATACTTGAAGCCTTTCACTCTTACTACAGGGGCCTCTCTCCAAGTTCACAATAGTTTCTTTAGTCTCGTTGACACGCTGTTAGAAAAAGTGTCAGGTTCTCTATCTCCAACAGATTAGCTACTTTTATAAACAATAAATTCCTGTAAAATTACTGGATTAACTTTTCTGTTAAAATATACCTATTAATGAACACCAAAATGTCTACAAAACAGCCTCTGAGGCTGGAAATATAATAGGATACTAACAATTTGAGAAGAAAAAAAAAATGCATTTGGTGCTGAATGCACAATTTATGCAGTTGTTCAAGATGTCACAGCTCACAATTTACTTCTAAGACTAACGGTGTCAAACTCTGTGAATGGGTCAAACTATTTGAAAGCAGACTTCTTATGGTACGTCAGCATCCCGTACGTGCTCAAACATGCACGCCAATATTATGGATTTGTTCAGACATACCATCGAGAGAGAACTTTATCAGCTTATTTCGGCATTGTCTGCACTGAGTTGACATTTTGACAGCGAGTCCTGTCCACACACAACCTCCAAACAGAAAAATGCAGATTTACAGCCAAGTATCTGTGTCATCAGCAAAGACGATGGTCTTCTGGTCAAATATGCTCCAATATGCTGCAATAATCAGAGCTACTATTAACGCACCTGGACTTTTATTCCCAAAGCAGCAAAGAGTAGGAGTGATCTTGGATGTTTTTTTGTAGGATTAAAATTTGACTCCTTTAACACTAGAACCGCCACGGGGTAAATTTTTACCCGTGGCTGTTTTTCAAATGTACATAAAAGATTTTAAATAAAACATTCAAGTCTCCCAGTCATTGACTTTTACTAAAATTACGTAATTTACAAACCAATGTTGTTAAAAATTATTTAGATTAAACCAGATCAAAAAACGGGGCATTTATACCTATAAGTGCCAGCAGCTAACTAAACAAATTAATAAATATTTAAGTGAAGCTGTGCGCTTGAATTTGTCATCGCATCATGCAGTGTGGTGAATTATTATTGCTCATTATTGTCTATAGGCTATTTTAGTCAGTGTCCTTGGATTAGCTTCAGACACTACCTGCATTAGTAGAAAGATCTTTAACTGGGGAAGCAGAGGTTTACTTGAGGTTTTAATAAACTAAAGTGGGCCCAAAGGTCAGCCTTGGGGCACACCGCTTGCCCACAGATTAAGAAAACAAGATTTGGACTGAAGCATATGGAGGACCACCCTTATATAAGTTTAACAAACTTCTTTCAAAAACTCACTGACCCCACACCTTTTAAAAGTATTGTGTTCATTCATTCATTTAAAAGTGGTAAAGTTTGATGCTTCAAATAAGGCTAAATCAAATACCACTTCCAAGTTATACAAGACAAGGATGCGCTACACTAAATCAGAAAAAGTCTTAACCTTTAATGTGGAAAGGATGCCTGACAATCACTTTCTTTCACTGTTAAAACTAGACTTGTCTGTTTCCCACATGCAAGCAAAGGTCAGCTTTATTTGTTATACCAATCTCTAAGCACAGGCGCTGCATTGTGCTCCTGTGTGGGCAGTATTTACCGGCTCTGTTTAACTCTGTCAGATTGACCGACTGTGGAAAACAGCAAATCTTTAGCTGCACTGATTTCCCTTTCAAATAACAAATGGGATGAGCAAACTATCCTTTCAAACATCCCCAGACAATAAAGACTGCTTCAAAACGCTCTTTCAATAAGGCCGTATAGGCGTAGAGACGGATCTTTGAAGCGGGGCATTGTAGCTACCCTGTATCCTTTTGTTGGGGTAATAGAGTAAAACTGGCTGGTCTTTCCGAGCACCTAAGTAGAACCATGGGAAACCAGTGTGAGGTCTGTTCAAGGCGATTTGTGTTATCGCGCTGGATTTTGCCGCTGATATGAACCGCTTTGCTACACTTCAAGTGGTTTGACATTTGGCGCTCAGAAAATACGAGACGAGAAGTCCAGTCAGAGATCAAGATCCTAATCAAATGTTGTCTAAATCATTAAATTAACAAATTTTCTCAGATGTGAATGGCAAATTAAACACATTTTAACAACACGTATATCAACCTAAAATCTAAATGCACTCTTTCAAAGGTTAATAGCATTGTGGTTTAAATATGCATAAATGCTCCTGGAATTGCAATATAAAACTGGTAGAGCTTCGATCTCAGTAAGTACTGATGTGCTAACTATTATCATTATGTATCAAGACTGAAAGGGCTGATGAGATTGACTCTGACACCTTTACATAGGACGGTTCAAGGGGATACTTTTAGGTAGTCCAGCACGTTCAGAGAGGTGCTGGACAGTGAGAGATTCTCCATGAGATTTTCTATGGAAGTTCTCAATATTGCTTTACAAGTGGCCCTAAACAGTATTTGGACATTTAAGCAACACTTTAATATACTTCCTTCATAAACAAACAAATGATGCTAGGTCATTTCTCAGAACTAGTTTTCAGTGGATGCATAAAGTTTAACCACAGGTGTAATTTAAAGGGGTCATATGATGTTGCTAAAAATAACATTATTTAACATTTGGCAACCAGCAAAGATCCAGATACTATTTGACCTAATCTTGAACATTATATCTGTTGATTTATCATTTGAAACCTAACAAACTTCTTTTTTGTGAAATGTTTTATGTGAAAGGTTCATTGACACTTAGTTTATTTAACATTTTGTTATCTAATGCAATGATGTTCAAACATCACACAAGGGACCAAATATGTTTGAGGCCAATGTTCATGTAAACAACTGTCAGTTTACAACAACTCACAAAATAAAAAAATAAAATAAAAAAACATGTGCTTACGAATCCATAAACACAAAATTAAAAATGAATCCAAATCTATTCAAGGAAAAAAACACAAGCAAAGAGTGCTGTTGATTCAGCTGTAGTTACAAGGCCTTAGTCAGTGTATTTAACCATTTACCTTTTGACAGGAATGAAAACGAGGCTGTGAGGAATAGAAGTACAGTGTGTTCAGTGGGTTGTAATGTTGTTTATCAACATAACCATTGTTCAGCTGACAAAAAAAAAAAAAACTTTCTGAAAACAACAAAAACGCTCAGTTGACAAACACTCCATAAATCAGTTTTGAAGTTTTTGAAGTTGAAAATAACATTATGTAGAACCTTTATATAGTGCGTGCCACTGTAAAGACTAAGGCCCAATCCCAATT